CATTTCTCATTGAGATCTAGCTATGTAACTTGTCCTCAAGGCAATTATTTTCATTTAAGTGGACATGGATTATATTTTAAGCTAAGGATTTGTGCTTCTTTATGCTATGTTTGGATCATGGATTTGTCAAAGGAAAACTAAATGGAAAAGAAATGGAATTACTATATATATATATTATGGGTAATTAACCGAAAAAAAAGAGTAAATTTTGAGTTGGCCATTTGCACCCCCACACACTAGAGCCACACTTGAGCCCAGCTTTGTTTTTGGTGGAATGTGCGAATATCTCAATTTACCTATAACCACATACCAAGCCAAGCCCAACCTGTCCTGTGTTTTTACATAGATGGTTTCAATTACAGAGTGTTTGACGCAGAAAGGTATCACGGGAAATTTTGAGAGTGGGGAAAGTTCAGATTCTGATGGACAAGCTTCTTGGTTAGTATATTATGTTTATATGTTAATTTAGTAGAACATTTCTTCTTCAACTAGGGTAGAATAAAAAACTACTTTTGACATTTAGGCACAAGGTCCTGGGAAAATAGTGAAATATGCATCTAAAGGCCCGAAAAACATCACAAAAACCTTGAGATTATCAGAAACTATCATGAACACTTTGGGAGGGATGAACATAAGTTGTGAAAACTTACAGAATAATCATAGGACACTCGGTTGGAAAACATATAGACTTGAAAATAGGCCGTTAGGGAGTAAAATCTTGAAATAGTCGTTAAAAGGCCGAGAAATATCATGAACACCTTGGGAGGAACTAATGTAAGTTGTAAAAATTTACGGAACAAGCATGGTAAAATTTGGTTTAAAATTTATTTTGAAATTTTTATTTTTTCTCTTCTAGGTTGCATATTAACATATTTAGTGAATGGTTACCTTAACCTTTTGTTGTTGTTGTCATTTTTTTTTTCCTTTTTAAATGGCAGATTGGAGATGAACGAATTTGGTAACCTGCATAGCAAGAGTTTTTTTGTTGATATTACCAGACACATCCATCACAGTGTAGTTGTACTTTTTGTTGATATTACCAAACATGTATTTTTGACTATGTTGTTGTGGGTTATGATTATATTGTGATGGATCTTATCTTTTTGTTGATATTTTATTGAATAGATTAAAAGAACAGGTTTTTGTTGATATTACCAAACACATATTTTGACTATGTTGTTGTGGGCTATGATTATATTGTGATGGATCTTATCTTTTTGTTGATATTACCAAACATGTATTTTGACTATGTTGTTGTGGGCTATGATTATATTGTGATGGATCTTATCTTTTTGTTGATATTACCAAACATGTATTTTGACTATGTTGTTGTGGGCTATGATTATATTGTGATGGATCTTATCTTTTTGTTGATATTACCAAACATGTATTTTGACTATGTTGTTGTGGGCTATGATTATATTGTGATGGATCTTATCTTTTTGTTGATATTACCAAACATGTATTTTGACTATGTTGTTGTGGGCTATGATTATATTGTGATGGATCTTATCTTTTTGTTGATATTACCAAACATGTATTTTGACTATGTTGTTGTGGGCACGAAAAAAAATTGACACTAAAACTTTCTAATCCCAACAAATAATTTCGCCACACATATTCACTATTTCATCACTAAATTAGAATATTTGTTGACAAAACTTTTCGTCGATCTTTTGGTGACGATATTTTTGTCACTAAAAATTTTATCGCTATTTTTAATGACGAAATATTTTGTCACTCAAAACAAATATAATAAAATTTTATTTAATTTTAGTGACGAAATGGACGTTATAGGTGACAAAATATTTAACATTTAGTGACGAAATATTTCGTCACCAAATATCAATAATAGGTGACAAAATAAATTTTCGTCATCAGGTACTTTTAGTGACGACGAATTGATGACGAACGTGGTGACGAAATTATTTCGTCACAGATCAATTTGGTGACGAAAATTTCACTATTGGAGACGAAGTGATTTTGTCATTAAAAAACCATTTTGTTGTAGTGCCAAAATTTAAGAATCGCAAAATATATCTAATGATTGTGAGTGATTTTGGATAAGGAGATAGGGATCCTTAGGCCCCATGCTGCTAGTGTACTCTTCTTTTCCACACAACCCAAAGCAAAAACACCTAAACCCAAAAGCATACACTCTTGATTTTTCTATATATTCTTTTCCGTAGGTTTTCATCCACTGATCCATAGCATCAGAACACCCAAACTCAAAGCATGCACTCTTCAGTTTTTGGGTCCTCTATGTACTATTGTTAGCTCTGTTTCTTCCCCTTTATTGATGTATCCTTATACTTGTATGCTACATTTCATCAATAAAGTTTTCTGATATTATATTCTTTTCCACCACTTTTTCATCCATTGATCTGTGTCTCCCATGCCTACCCCATCCGCTAGCATATCTACCATGATCGAAGAAACACCCATGGCTGAAGCTACCTTGGCCGAAGTCAGACACACCCATAGACAATCAAGAGCCCCTGCCACAGCCGAACAAGACCCACTGCCATCTCCACGTTCATGGTCGGAACATCTTTTCTTTTTCGACCCAAACACCGAACACACCCATAGCTGAAGTTCCTATGTTGTCGACCCAAACACCGAACAACCGCTAAGACACCTCCATACATCTGGGCAGAGTTCACCCCTCAAACTCCCACTTGCATAGGAGCACTTGAATGAACTCCTAAACAAATATGGAACGAATTCGACACCAATGTTTCCTCCTGAACAAAGCGTTGAAGCATCTCCATCAAGGTTCTAAATCGCGGTATCGGATAACGAAACGATATCGATCGCGAAGTATCAGTATCGGTAGTATCGATTGGTACGTATCGGGAATCGAGTGTCGCGGCGATGAAATTTTAAAAATCATTTCAAAGGTTTTTCAACTTTTTCTTTCCCGTACCGGTCCGAACCGGTGAGTATCGGCCCGTCGCGGCTTGTGTAACGCTTACAGGCTGATACGTACCAAGACTCGGCCGATACTCCTGTGATTTTCAATCTCAGTGGTATATCGGCCTGTATCTATTGCAGTACCCCATTTCTCCGATACGTATCGGCAGATATGTAGCGTATCGGCTGATATTTAAAACTATGATCTCCATAGATCTGAACGGAGTTCACCCCACAAACTCCAACTCGCAAATGAGTGCCCGAATGAAATCCTAACCAAATTTGGAACAACCTCTTTGCTGACCCAACACTGACCTCCTTCTTCTCTACTTTGATCCCTGTTCCAAACTCCCCCAATTGATAACAAACACCACTGCTACATCAACCCCTATTGCCGCAAACATCACAAATACAGTGATAAATATGATATGGAAACCCCCGGGATTGGTAGATCTGATGTGAATAACCCTAATGAACATTCATAGCGTGCACTGAAACACCAAAAAATTAAAGAACAACTGCAACAAACAAAGCACATCTAAAACAGTGGGGGATTCAAGTTTATTAAAAAGAAACACCAATGCACAAAAACATGAGAGATTTGGGCCAACCGACCACCATAGCCAAAGGCGGCCACCGGCCGACCAAGAATGAGGCTCGAGGTGGAGGTTTTTATAGAGAGAGAGAGAGAGAGAGAGCCTAATAGAAGTTGTTAACTTGTTTGGTGTGGATGGTAGATTAATTTTAAGCTACAAAGTATTGTTTGTTTAACTAAGGCTTCGTTTAGGAATAAGATATTTTAGTAATTTTTTAATTTTTTATGAAAAAATATACAAAAAAAGTAATATTTTAGTAATTTTTTAACTTTTTACAAAAAAATATACAAAAAAGTAAAGAGAGAGTGATGGAATAATTTATAGTAACTTTTTAATTAAAATTGAAAGTTGCCAAAGTAGGCCTAAGTTGTAAAGTGACTTTTTGTTGGGTAATTGTCCTTTTCACCCTTATTAATTGTAGAAGTGGATTTACCTTGAATTTTTTTATATATTACAAATTTGAAAGTCATTATAAATAAAACGCCAAAATCCATATCATATTTAGGTACAATTCATACATATTTAAGTACCAACATTTACATCTTAACGATTATTTGTGCTACAAATTAACATTAAAATGTTATATTTTCTCAATTCCATCTCATACTCGTCACTTGGTGGGTTCATGGTGTCCTCATACCATGTCTTCCTCATCAACAGTACATATAAAACAATGTGACTATCACATAATTGAAATAAAATATCCGTTACATTACTTTGCCTAATGAAACCATGAATGGCCATGTTAGCAAAAATAGCTTGTGTTAGGCGGTCTAGTTGTAATGTGATGAAATATCCTGTATCATCTACCATCTTGATTTCTAAACCCCTAAATATTCTTCTATTGATACTTCTAAGTAATAAATGTGTTTGGTTGAATATATTCTTGTTGATTTTGGAATCCACAGCCTTGAAATTCAGTTAGATGACATCTCTCTACTCTCTCGAGTGCAAGATATCCTTTTATATTAGGGTAGTTGCAGTCACCAAGTAATAGTTGCAGTCACCAAGTAATACTCATCTACAAGTTAATCGAAAAATCAATGGCCTTAAGCGAAATGAATGTGAAATTATTACAACTTATAATAACATGATGTGTATCCTTGTGGATATGAAAAATTGTTAGCTCAATTCCTAATTGTATCCCAAAAGATGTGCGTATAGTCTAGGTTAGTGATTTTTACTGATAACAGCATGTAAATCTCTTTATATAATCCAAAGTTGTTCCAAAAAAAAAAAGATAGAGAGAGAGAGAGAGAAAAAGAAAGAAAGAAGATCTTGTGTCTTTTTAATGATAACAGTTGGGCTGGATTAGTGTTGATGTAATTGTAACATGACCTAATATGACATGACATGAATATGACTCAACATGACATGATGCCCACTCCTAAGTTGAAGAAAGGAAATATGACAAGCATATGGGGCATATATCTAGATCAACCAATGCGGTTTATTTCCAACACAGTTAATGGCACAATGAATTGGGATGAGTCACTTAGCCAAAGATAGTGCAACAATGAAGAACTTTGAAAGCATGAAAATGTGAGATATGAAGAGAGTGGATAACAATTTGTTTTGAATTAGTGATGTGAAAAATACATGAATCTCAACAATTTCATCTGCTGGAATTGTTACACCAGTATCGGTGATATGTGTATCAACTTGAACATTAATTGCATACAAGGTAATGGTTTTCTTGATCTGTGATTCCTGCAAGTTGAAACTCTGCCAGATTGGCTTAGATTTTGATGAGCTAACATTTACACAACCAGTTCATAGGTTTGAAAGACCAGTAAGTGTTTTTGAATTCCTTGCTACACCATTTCTCCTTTGAAGTCAAACTCAAGACTTTATTCTTCTCTTCTCATACATTAAGTTTATTGTTATTATTTTACAATTTTTTGGGCAACTCAATATAGACTTTGCATCCTCATTGCCACCTAGTGTGTCATGTGTCAGATACTTTTTTGAGATTTATGAGTTGTATCTTTGAGTCAATATTCATTGATTTTTCTTATATTTTGTTAAAATTCACCTACTCTCCACCTACTTCACCCACTTAAACCTACTCCACTAAACCTAACCCACTACACCACTACCACCTCACCTACTCCACTAAACCTAACCCACTAAATCCACATACTCTCCACCTACTTCACCCACTTACCACTTCGCTGATTATGACGGGGATCGAGCTGTTATATTTTTCCAGTTTTTCTAGTTTTGGCCTTCCCGCTCGAACGGGGAAAGGGACGCTCGAGCGGGGATTGGAAGCTCTCAGCATCTCTGCAGTCGCCTGAAAAAAAATACTGGATGGTGTGATTCGCCGCTCGAGCGGCAAAACCGACGCTCGAGCGTGGAGCCTGTATGAAATCACAGAATTTGAAGTCTCCGCTCGAGCGGGGAAAAGGGCGCTCGAGCGGACCGCGCGATCCCAGATTTCCAGATTTGATTAATGAGTTGGTTTTCTTCTGAAATTAGGATTGCTTTGGTTTTCTATAAATAATTGGTTTTCTCCCAACACTAGGGGAACTTCTCCAGATCTTATTTTTGGATCTTAAGGTTTATATCTGGAGAGATTTTGCTAGTTTACTTTGATGTTTTTTGAGTTTTCAACTCATGATTTAAAGAGAGTACATCAAAGGTTTGTTTGTTATACACAAAAGAGAGAGTTGTTCTTCAGTTGTGAATTCTGAAGAGTTCGAGCCTGAAGCTTTGGTGGAATCCGAAGTGGCTCATCAGAAAGACAATTCCGTGGTGAAGATGGGGTTGGAAGAGGCACATAAAGGTTGGTTCAATTAGGCGTTGTGGATTCGCTAAGTAATTGAGAGTATACCTGTGTAATTCCTTTAATTTTTCTTAGTGGATTGTCTTGTGGCTGTTGCCCGTGGTTTTTTGATCACAGTTGGAGGTGTCCAATTGTGATTTTTTCCACGTTAAATCGTTGTGTCTCTTTGTCTTGATTGTTTGATTGTTTGATTGGGATTGTTATATTCTGCTTAAAATTGATACATAATCACAAATCAACATTTAGGGGATTACTAGATTTTTCAGTTATTATTTTACAATTTTTTGGGCAACTCAATATAGACTTTGCATCCTCATTGCCACCTAGTGTGTCATGTGTCAGATACTTTTTTGAGATTTATGAGTTGTATCTTTGAGTCAATATTCATTGATTTTTCTTATATTTTCGTCCGTTGATTTTTTTATTCATGATTTTACTACTTGATATATTTTTGAGAAAGTGAAAATTTTATTTGAGTAATTAATGAATAAATGGTGTAGAGTCTACATTCATTGTGCGTAGAGAGTGTAAAGTGTATTGCTTTGGTTAATATCTCTAAACATACATAAATTTTTACATATTTTCGTCCGTTGATTTTTTTATTCATGATTTTACTACTTGATATATTTTTGAGAAAGTGAAAATTTTATTTGAGTAATTAATGAATAAATGGTGTAGAGTCTACATTCATTGTGCGTAGAGAGTGTAAAGTGTATTGCTTTGGTTAATATCTCTAAACTTATTGATACATGAAGAGTAATTTTACACCAGCATAATTTTTATACATAATTCTCACTCATAATGATGTCTTGATCTTCAGTTCCAATGATAAATTCAAAAAGTTTTAGAGACCAAATATTGTGATCTCTAAAAGTGAAAATTTTGATGCAAAAGACATTTAGGGACTAATTTCTATCATTATGAGGATAGTCGCTAAAAGATCATTCAGAAAAGTCAAAAACAAGGTTTTTAGCGACAAAATTTGAAAATGTCACTAATAAATGGACTTTTAGGAATAAAATAATTTGGTCTCAAAATGATTTATTTTTTGAAACAAAAAAATTTGGTTCCAAAAAGATAATAATTTATCACTAATGTCTAATTTCGTTACTAAAAATATAATAGCGATACTTTTCGCAACAAAAATATTTAGTCCCCAAAAAATAATTTTGCCTCTAAATTTTGGTCTCTAAAACTTTAATTTTTTATAATGTTAAAAAATTACATTTGAAGATGAACTTATCTGTATTTATACAAATAAATCAAATATATATTTTTCTTTATACAAATTGATGTGATTCCTCTCATGTTCATTTAGTTGGTCCATTTTCAATTTTAACTTTATTGATGTATGACATCAATGACAATTTATAATTTCGATAAACAGTGTTGCACTTTCACTCATAGTGTTGTAATTTCCTTCTATATAGCTTCACTAACGGCTATAATCACAAATAAGAATGCATAATCAATAAAGAACATAATTGGCTTTTATTTATTTAAAACAAAAAACAAGTTACAACTTCTCTTGTCGGTTATAGTGGCCCGGGTTAAGACTCGACCTTTTTGTACTCTTTGATTTGGAGTCTGGTGTCCATTATTGTTGTTTATATCTGTTTTAGTCCTATATTATCCATTGAGAGTTGACAATGTGGTTTTGGAGTTGTTTTGAACATGTTGGGATTTAGTATTTTTGAGGAGGTTCTATTTGTTTATTCATGGATTCACTCGAGCAGTAAGTTGGTCACTCGAGTGGTCTTTCATTTCTTTTAGATGTTGTGTTTGCAATTTAGGATTTTGGGAGGGGGTTATTATTCGCTCAAGCGGTATTTTCTTCGCTTCTTCACTCAACGGCGGTCTTTCTATATAAAGGTATGGGAGAAAGATCTTTTCTTTCACTTTTTGTTTTCCTCTCTCTCTCTCCCAAAAACTTTTTGAGCCATTTTCTTCACTCTCTCTCTAGTTCTTGTATAAATCACCCCGTACACTCTAATCCTTGAATCTCACAACCTTGGTGCTTTGAGCTAAAACGTAGAATGTGAAGAGGTGGTCATTTTGATCAAACCAGTTCAAGATCCGCTTCTACAGATTTTGGGATTGTTTATCCCATCTCTTTCTATTTTTGAGGTCGAGATTTCTTTAACATCTCTACATGATTTTTAGCTTCGTTATATGCTCTTGAATAGAGTAGTATTTTGAGTTTGATTTGGGTTTGATTTAGACTATAAAAATGAGGGTTTTTGAAATGGTTTCTTTTGAAGTTATGTTGGAATGGCTTGTTGATGAGAAGTGTTTAAAATATGGAAAATTATTGGATTTTTCTTAATGGGAGTTTTGGAAAGAAATAGCTATTGTTTTGGGAGAATCTTTGAAATCTTTGAAAATTATTGGTTTTGAATAAGGATGAGAATGGTGGGGCAATGCTTGAAACCTTGTTGAATTGGATAGTAAAGTTGAACATGTATTGTTATTCCAAATTCGAAATGATGAATTTATATTTGTTAATTGAAATTTATCTTATGATTGGAGATGTTTATTTTGGGCTATCAATGGAGGATAAGTTCGATTGTTGTAGAAATTGCATGAGGACTAGGTTAATTAAAACCATTCACTCATGTATCTCTCATTTGAACATTATTTCACACTCATACATTGAAATGTATCGTTTTTGAGAAAAATTTGTAAATACTTTGAAAAATCTGATTAGGGGGTGTGGTTGTGGTTATTTTTATGTTGGCCTATATGTCCTTGGTGAAAGTCCAAAAACTCGTGCAGTTAGGTGCCGATCCTTTCGGTTAGCATCGGTAAAATGGCTTTGGTAGTGCTTGTATATCTTACTGGCAGACAAGTATCTAGAGATTTCCAATGTATGTATGCAATGCCTTGTTTTCTATTTTGGAAGTAATGGTTTATAAATTAAATTATAAACATGACATTGTATTGTTTGAAAGAGAAAGTGCATCGTTTTGATAAATGACATTCATGTGTATTCACCATATGGCATTGTTAAACATTACAGAGTATTAAATTAATCTCTACTGGCCATTAACTTATCCTATGTGGCAACCAACTTTCAGGTGCTGATGATTAGACTCCACCAAGTAGTTAGCTTGGTAGGATTGTGGAACTGAAGGCTCATCTTCTTTTGTTTTGTAAATATTTTTTTGGCATAAGCCTGGGGCTTTTATCTGTATTGGGCATTGACCCAGTTTTGTTGTAATCAAGTGTCGTCTTGGAAATATGTAGCCATTAAAGCATGGATTTATCTTTATTTCATTGCAGTTTTACTTATATTCATCACATGCTATAGATTCATAGCTCAAGGTTAATGAATATATCAATGCATATGACATCATCTTTTGTAACACATCAAAGGAATTAATGAATGGATGCCAGTTTTGATAATGCATCTTATATTGAATGATGGGATCTTATTAGCTTCTGCATATCTATTTGGTATTACGAGGGTATCCATTTTATAAAATTTTGGGGCGTTACAAATAGTTACAGAATCATTAATTTTTATTGGGTTAATTACATTTAACACTCTTATACTTTTATCAAAATCTCATTTTGATCATTTCATCTTAATTTCTACTAGCCTACTTAATGTAGACCGTCAGAAGAGAGACCTTTCAACTTCACGTAAGTATGAGGTGCCAAGTGTAATTAATGTGCTTTTATTTGTCCAAAGTGCTACAAAGGAGTGTGAAAGCATAACTCACAACTTCTTCACCAAGCGATTGACTCCATGTTTAGGCTCTATAACCAGCCTCATAGCTGGTGAATGGATATACTTGGGAGAAAGAGTAATAGAGAAGTTGGAGACCATAAAAGCAAGTAGTATTTTGAGTTCAACCATGGCCAACTTCTGTCCCAAGCACACCCGAGGTCCAACCCCAAATGGCATGTACATGTGTGGAAGCTTGCAAGCACTTGTGATCCCATTTGCAAACCTGTCTGGGTTGAACTCGTACGAGTCCGATCCCCATATTTTAGGGTCAGTATGAGTTGTCAACACCATGGACCATTCACACCCTTGGGAACATTAAGATCCCTAAACTTCATGTCCTTCAATGCCTTCCCTTAGTTGCACGAAGTGGGAGTGGGAGTGGGAGCGGGAGCTGGAGCGGGGGAACGTGACCACTTAGAGGAGTCATAGATTAGGAGCGCTTATATATTATTTTTATTAATTATATTTTTAACTTATCTATATTATTTTTTTATTTTTAATTGACATACATGTATATATATTTTTTTAATAATGAAATTGACATACATACATATATATATATATATATATTTGTTATAAGTGAAAAAAGTAGAATTGCTACCAAAATATACATATTTTATAAATTTCCATAACATAGGCAAAATATATCACTAAGTGTGGGCAAAAAAATTAAGCATCACCACAAAAAAACAAAAGTCCAACAAAACAACAAAAGTTCACCAATCCACAAAAGTAAAGTTGTTACCAAAAACAAGGAAAAAAAAACAAACAAACAAACAAACAAGACAGTTTCTGATTCATTCTTTCTCCAAAGTGCAATAGTTTCTTCATTTCTTTTGCTTTTTACCCCTTGCCTTTTCAAGCGTCCTCTATGCTCTCTCTATTTTCTCCATTGAAGAAGACTCTTGAATACTTGGAGATGGGCAAGATAGAGAGGCAATAACAGTTAAAGCTAGGCTTGGAACACCAACATCATCAAAGTTGTTTTCACCACCCTCTTCACTATTAGAGAGAGACACATTATCCATTTGTTCTATTGGAGTGAAATCCTTCTCTATGTTGGCATCTTCTATATAGGCATCCCAATTATTGAGGCCCTCATAATCATCCCTATATCTTGTCAATAACCTATAATTTGTTGACAAGAGAAGAACAAATATTACATTATATAAGAAAAAAATACAAAAACTCAAACATAATAGATAATACAAATAAAACAAAGAAAAGAAGAATAACCTATGATTGTAGTGCACAAAAACTAATTTTTCAGCATGATCCACATTCAACTTGTTCTTTTTCACATTGTGAATGTAGGAATAGGTACTCCAACATCTCTCAGCACAAGTGTTTACACTTTGAGACAAAACTTTTACAACAAATAAGAACAATTCAGGAGCAGCCCCACTATACATATGCCACCACGATAATGTAGTCAGGGTTGCTCTATCTTTCACAACTTGGGGTTATGCAAAAACACCTTTGTTACTCATAAAATCGCTAATTTGATGGCGTATCAAAGAACCTTCATTTTAGTCAACAACAATTTTTTCAATTGCATGAAGATATCCTGTTTGTATCTTTATCAAAATGAGGCGTCTTCCTACTCACACCACCAGGAGCTAGCTATGAAAACCAAGAATTTGTGTAGTACTTAGGAACAAGAACATATGCAAGGCAATGTAGAGGAATATTCATTTTATCCCATCTCGCCACCACAAATTGTTGAACCAAATCATAGATTGCAAGATCATCAGAAAGAGAGTCTTTGATATTTCCTAACATTGTATCCATTTGCTCATAAACCTCCCCAATAACTGCTTTATCAGAATCAGAAAAAACAAGCATCTTAAATATATGCTTTGTAAACTTAAGGACTTTATTTTATTTTTATTTTATTTTTTTGATTTTTTGCAGAAGTCATCGTTCATAATTGTTTGTTGGACAATGTCATGTGCTCTAGTGAGGATGAACTCCTCCTCAAGTTGTCCCATTGCTTGCTTAGAGCCATAGACATTAATGATGGTCTCATTTTAACAAGTCATTGCAATACAATAAATTATGGCCAAACCTAGTTTTTCTTTTGCTTTGAGAAGCTCCAATGCTAAAAAGGTCTTGAACAAGTATTGACAAGCAGAGTGATTTTTGGTGTATTTAACAATTGCCTTGCCTTTTTTTTTTTTTTTTTAATAAGACTCATCAACAAAGAACAGCAATGAATCCTCACTTTTAGCTATATCTTTCATCAATAGATTTAAGGTATGAGCCATACTACCAGACCAAAAAATATGGGCATCCTTCTGTTGAATTATCGCACCTGTAGCCTTGCAATTGGAAGCATTATCTGTCACAACTTGGACCACATTAGAAGGGCCAACATAATCAATGGCCTTTAAGAGTAGCTTAGTAATATTAGCCCCAGTCTTCTCTATGGAAGAAACATCATGTCCATTTATAAAAATGGCTTTACCTCCAAAGATAGCCCTGATGTTAATAAGAGGTTGGTTTTTTAAATTAGACCAGCCATTAAAAATAATAGAGACCCTATGAGTGCTCCAATCCTACATCAAGGGAGTGAGAGATTGTTGCACCTTCTTCTATTCTTTGTCCCAAAAAAGCAATCCTAACTTTGTCATAGTTGGGGAACTTGTACCCTTTTGGTGCATTTAGAATATAAGAGACCATATATGCCCACAATGGTGACCTCACAACATTGAAAGCAATGTCATTGCCATAAATGCATCTTGCAATCTTCTAATCAACTTCTTCTCTACTAGCTATTTAAAACATTTTGTCAACTGAAGCCTTGACTGAAGATTTTCCAGTGGTCTGAGATCGTTGTCGTGTCTTTGAAGGCATGGGAATTTTTCTAAACTTACAATTTCCACCAAAAATTCTTTGTGTAGCCAACTCCTCTTCCTTTAGTAATTCCTTCTCAGCTTGGCTCAGCTTTGGACATACTCTTATCCCTTGATATTGTTGGCCTAGTAATTTTCCAATTAAGTGTTGTCGAACTCGTGAATAAGAACCAGTATATGCCACAGTTTTGCAACCAAAATTGCAAATGAATTTCATTGATCCACCACCTCCAGGTTTGGCACTAGATCCTTCACCAGGAACTTTGTAATATATTTCCAAAGTGGAGTTGCACTTGGTTCTTCAACTTCATCTTTATCTCCATCATAATCTTCAGAGTCCATGTTTTGACTATGTGGATCCATGAAAAATCTGAAAACATATAACACATTATTACAAAATAAATAAATAAATAAATTCTATAAAAGAAATGGAAAATTTGAAAGTGTTTGCAAAATCATACCTTTGTCAAAGATGAATATATGCAAACTCTGCTGATAGAAATATATGAGTAATCGTATGCAAACTCTTGAGTTTCTTGGTGCTCTGCTTTTGCATCTGTTTGTTTTCTTTGCCCCAATCATAGAGTTACGGTTGGTGTTGGTGTTAGTGTTGATGGGAGAGAAAGATCACCAACTTCCTAGATGGAATGATTACATCAGTGCCCAAGATGAGTATACAGAAAAAAAAATATAGAAATTCAAAAATGTTTTATTTGATCTGCAGTTGCCATTAATAAGATATGTACAACAAAACTCTTAAAAAATAAATTTATAAGTATTCTTTAAATTTTTGTCCACTGACAAAAGCAAGTGAAAGCAAATAAATAATAAAAAATTGACTTATTGGTGGTTGTCAATCTTAAACATTAAATGAGATGCATGTATATGGCAGGTTGATAGTACTAGAATAACTCTCAATAAAGAAAGTGACTATTATAGACAAATTTGTCAATCTAAAACATTAAATGAGATGCATGTGTATGGCAGGTTGATAGTACTAGAACAACTCTCAAGAAATAAAGTGATTGTTGCAGACAAATTTGGACTGTTTAGCTCAAGAAATATGAAATTGGATTTCAATTAATTAGTGTACATTTAAAAAATAAATTACAAATAAGTAGTAAACTATTTTAATAACCCAATTATATGTTGTGGTCTATATTTGTAATCAGGTGTTCCTTTGGGTTAAGTTTGTGCACAGTTCCATTAATTTTGAAAATCGAATCTCATCGTTCATATTTGAATTCACATGGTATACCTTATTATTTGACTACTGATCTAATCTCTTGAGAATTAAATTGATATTATAGACTTTCTAATCAATTGTTTGAGTTCTAAATTGATAATTGATCTCTCAGACTTTGTCATACGTCATTGGAAAACTATTTTACTAATAATCAATTGTCTTAAGAGCTGAATTGATAAGATATACTTTCTGAGCAATTGTTTGAGTTTGTGATCTTTGAGACTTTGTCATATGTCATTGACCAACTTACTATTTGACTAATGATCTCATTTCTTCAGATCTGAATTGGCATGGTAGGCTTTCTAATAAATTGTTTGAGTTTGTGATTGATAATCAATCTTTGAGTCTTTGTAATACGTCAATTTACTATTTGACTAATGATCTAATCTCTTGAGATGTGAATTGGCATAGAAGACTTTCTGATCAATTGTTTGAGTTTGTGATTAATAATCAATCTCTGAGTCTTTGTCATACGTCATTGACCAACTTACTAATTGACTAATGATCTAATCTCTTGAGATCTGAATTGGCATGATAGACTTTTTGATCAATTGTTTGAGTTTGTGATTGATAATCAATCTCTAAGACTTTGTCATACATCACTGACTAACTTACTATTTGACTAATGATCTAATCTCTTGAGATCTGAATTGGCATAGTAGACTTTCTGATCAATTGTTTGAGTTTGTAATTGATAATCAATCTCTGACTTTGACATATGTCACTGCCCAACTTACTATTTGTCTAATGATCTAATTTCTTCATATCTGAATTGGCATGGTAGACTTTATGATCACTTGTTTGAATTTGTGATTGATAATCAATCTCTGAGACTTTGTCATACGTCACTGACCAAGTTACTATTTTACTAATGATCTAATCTCTTAAGATGTGAATTGGCATGGTAGACTTTCTGATCAATTGTTTGAATTTGTGATTGATAATCAACCTTTGAGTTTGTGATTGATAATCAATCTCTGAGTCTTTTGAATTTTTAAACTTTTTTTGAATTTATTTTAAATTTTTTTTTTTTAAATTCGTTTACAAGAGGAACGAGAAAAAGAAAAAAAAAATTACATAATTTTGAAAATAGGTCACTAAAAAAATTAACAAAAAATGTGACTCATTTGAAAGTTACCAGATAATAGTAAATTTTCAGGTTAGAGATTTGGAATCTCTAGTAAGAAGTT